CAGCAATGCTGCAGACGCTGGCATAGATTCCTCCGTCTACTCCACTGTAGGAGAGGATTAGAGCATTTCCATTGAAAAAGAATAATATATCTCCTAAACAGTGTTGGAATACACAATAAATACATGTATTTACTATAGAAGAAATTTAAAACGCATTCTGAAGTAGTCATCCCATAAAGCAAATTACCAAAACCTGGTCAGGGTAAGGAAGCATGGGCTTTGTACAGTTAAAAGTCCACAAAAAGCAACAGAAAGATGACTCTTAGCTTCAACAAGAATTTATATTTAGTCAGAGGCAAGGGACTCCTTCGTCTCAGTGCTTTAGTCTTTGCCAGATTCACTTTAAATAACAGCAAAATCTGTTTGCTTGACTCATTGTGTCTGTGATCAGATTCTCACAGATAAAGCTCCTCGGTTTTGTTTCCCAAGTCACCATCCAGCAGCTGCTGGAGGGTCGTGAGTCACCCCTGTGTGGACTATTGCCCTTTCTGAGGCAGAACCAGACAAGTTCAAGATGTTCTTTAATTTCTAACCACTTAGTCATATCTCTGCAAATGGGATAGATGAGTCTGCTACTAAGGCAATAGCTGGACATTTTCTTTGTCCAAAGTGGGAAAGCCTGTGGTTTTTGAAGATACTATTAGGAGATTTTTCCCTTTTGCATATAAATGTGGTTGTCATGATCATGGCACTTGTGCAAATGCAAAGCCAAAAGCAACTATAAAACAAGTCATCATCTCAGGTTGGAGCACTAGGTAACAAATTCCCATTTACCTTCCTGGAATCAGGATTATGACCCATATGACTTCTGTCACCCTTCAGGCCTACAGCAATCGTATTTGTTTTCCCCAGTGCACATTTGGGCTCTTTTTATGTACTACACAGGTCCATTGATACTAAATGGTGATTTTGCTTTCAGCTTTTGCTATTGGTCTGCTTACATACAGCTGCTAGGCTACTTAGAAAATGGGAAACAATTCAAAATCAGCATATGACGAAGCTTATGTTGCCTTTTTTCCTTTTTCTCACTTTTTTAGGATGGCCCAGGGAAATGCTTCTCACAGCAAAATCTTTAAAAATGTGAATGCTCCGTAAACAGCATAAACGCAAAGTTGGTCAGGCTTTCAAATATTAACTTTGTTTTGTACAAAATCTCCAACAAATCATTGCAGTAACTGCCATAGAAGTGAAGTGCTGTATAGCCAAAGTATTTAGGGCTTTGGGAGGAAGAATAAGATTTTGCATTTCCGTAGATGAATACTGTGGAGTTCTAATATGTTTTTAAATCTTAGGCTAATATATATGTTTAGGAAACAATAAGAAAAGCTGGCTAAGGCAAGTATGTGACTATTCTACCACAAGTCTAGAAGCAGTCAAGTCAGCTTTTTTATAACCTTATTATTTCTATATGTTATTTGCCAGTGCTTTAGCAAAAATCAGCTTTCCTTTTCCAAAGGATTTTGGAGCTAACAGTTAATCTTTATGAGAAATGCAAAATGCATTATGTCATAACATGCTGACACACAGATCTACATCTGAGCACAGAGGGGGTGTCTTGAATAGACTAAGTCTTCCCAGATGTAAGTTTCCTTTGGAAACCTACTTAATACTTTCATTCTGCCAAAGGCCACAGTGATTTTCATTGCAGTTCTCCTAGCTTATTTCTTAATTCATTTAACAATGTCCAGAAAGTTAGAAGCAAATATGAATGTCATTATATCCATATGTCTTCAATTTCTTGTCTCTTTTCCTTCTGTTAAATAATGCCATCTACTGTAGAATAGTTGAATGACAACCTTGTACAAATGCAGAGAAATCTGCTTTATTTTCTTATTACTGTAAAATTATGTAAGTAGTTTTATGACACATTTCAAATTTCCATGATTTTCATCAATATTTTTGACTAAAACATGGAAAGGTGAGTATTTCCAGTGTGAAAAATTGGTACTGAGAAAAGCCTCTGCTTCAGAAAAGGGCAGCTGTCTTGAAAACAATCTTTTCTAACCAGGGCAAAAATATGGGTAGGATGGCCCTTTTCTGCTCCCCATTCAAGAAGCTGTCCTCTTAACTTTAAGGCAGTGGGATCACATCTCTGGAAATAACAAAAATAAACAACAACCAACCACCAACCAAAAAAATCAATAAAAAATAAGTAAGGATGTAGAAAAAATTGACATGAAAATGCAAATTCTTGGATATGTGTTTACTAGTGTGTCCTGGGTTCAGCTACAGCAGTCATTTTTTCTCCTTCTTAGTAGCTGGTGCAGTGCCGTGGTTTTGACTTTCGGTCTGGGAACAATGCTGATAACACCGATGTTTTTAGTTGTTGCTAAGTAATGTTTACTCTGCCCAAGGACTTTCTCAGTCTCATGCTCTGCCAGGGAGGAGGGGAAGCCAGGAGGAAGCAGAGACAGGACACCTGACCCAAACTGGCCAAAGGGCTATTCCATACCACAGCACGTCATGCCCAGTATAGAAACTGGGGGGAGTTACCCGGAAGGCCCAGATCGCTGCTCGGGTCGGGCTGGGTATCGGTCGGCGGGTGGTGAGCGGTTGTGTCCTTTTCCCTTGTTATTCCTCTTATCATTATTATTGGTAGCAGTAGTGGTTTGTATTATACTTTAGTTACTGGAGAGCTGTTATCTCAACTCGTGGGAGTTACATTCCTTTGATTCTCCTCCCCATCCCTCCAGGAGCGGGGGGAGGAAGGAAAAGAGGGGGAGTGAGCGAGCGGCTGCGTGGTTCCAAGTTGCCAGCTGGGTTTAAACCACGACATAGTGAATAAGAAAGTTTCTGTCTTAAACATATAGTTAAAAACAAATTGTAGTTTTGAAAGGATATGAAAGTGCTGCGAGATCAAAATGTGAATTGTAAAAATAATCAAACACATCTTAAGGGTACAGAAGTGGGTGCACTATGCATTTTTTTATATGTATATGCAGTTCATATAACTGTACATTCCATGTGCACACAGTATGACATTCTTTTAGATCTATATCATGGCATTTTTATTTAATAATTATATATGAACTATGTTCTGCCCTAACTAAAGAAAAATCCTCTCTTCCCTTCCTCATTACATTTGTGAATGAGAAGGGTGTTTTAACCTGTGGAGCTCGGAAGTACTTAAGTGGAACGATAGCCGAGTACATCGCTCTTGGGTGATGTTCTCTAGGGTGTATCCAATTAGCTCCTTTTAAATGGGTAACAAGCTCTAACCTCCTCTGTATCTTTGGTGATATTCTGCCTCCCACAGTATACTGCTGTTGAGGTCTTCCTGCATACACTGAGCTACTCAGCTTTTGCTCCTTTATAATTCAGGTTTTAACATGTGTCATTAAAAAGACTATAAATAAGATTTCATTTGTTAGTGCTGTGCCTGCATTTATTTTTGCATCTTTTTGCATCTTGTTGTTGTAATCAAGGTGGTGGTAAAAACCAACTCTTAACCATAAGACAGTCAACATCTTCCTATTTGCTTCTTTTAAAATGGAAGTGCAGAAATAACGTAAGTTGGTGTATGCAGATAGCCTGTAGTAGGGTTGAAACTGGGAAAAGAAACCAGGCACTGCTCTGCTCTGAGACTCCCACTCTGGTTCTCCACACAGTGAGACAGGAGGTCTTGGCTGTGTTCTCCATTGCCGTTACAGAGCTCATGCAAGGAGGTGATGTATTTCATGGATAACAGAGGAAAAAGGTTAATATGGACAAGGATAAACAGATAAGTGAGACACTGGGAAGGGAGCAGAGCCTGAAAATCTGAGCTCAGTTGACTGCATGGCAATAAAGAAGGTGAACTGTTCAGGTACAAAAGGCAAGAGAATTCAGGGAAGATGCAAAGGGAAGTTACATGTTATGGGAAAGGTGAAACCAAATAGACAATAAAGGGACTGAAGCAGAAAGAGAATGAGAAGAAAGGAAACACATCCAAGTGTGTACCACGCCAAGTAACATGGGTGTGGGTATAGAAAAAGATACCCACAAATACAGAGAGAAAGTAAAGCAAAGAATGCGAAGAGAAAAAGGAGACCAGTGTGCTAATGCAGTAGTGGAAAAGAGAAAAAACATGATAAAAGATGCCTCATAGGAGAAAAGAAAAAGGGACTGCATAACCTGTAGGAATGAACTGCATTATAAATTTGGACTCAGCCTTGTACTACGTAATTATGACCATTACAACTATTTGATGGTATTCAGAATTTTCTGTTTGGAGCCAGTGGCAATTTTAGTGTCAGAGCTTTGAATTACATCTTTTGGCATTTTTTCTCTTTTTGAAGGGTGATGTGTAGTCAGTAACTTATTTGATCTGATTCCATTATTTATTCCATTATATATTCCATTATTCCATTATATATTCACTGATACTTATATTTGCAATTTGAGACTTACAATAATTTCTACAAAACTTACAAGGAGCTTATCTAAATATGTTATTTTCATATTGGTTTCTTAAACTTTCTGGATGCAGTTTCTCTGAGAAAATACAAACCCACAACTTAATGCTTGAAACTGGTTTTCATCAGTCTCTTCAAATTCATTATCTACAATAAATTTGATCAGTAGATTATCTGTAGGAAGAAATTCACAAATCCATGTGTATTAGGGATGAACAATGTTTTTTTCTGACTATACAGACCCTTGTAGCATTTGAATGGAACAGATGACACAACAACTGCAAACCATTTGGGCAATTAATGTGAACATTCTTTTACATCTATCACATAATTGGCTTTCAAAAAGCACTTTGAAAACACTTGGTACTAACTATTGATGCAAGATACTAGCAACAAGTTCTTGCTGGACAGATGGCTTATTCCTCATCCATGTGTAAGTGATCATGTTGGCACATGGGACCAATGATATACTTGTTCGAGAGATTTGGCACGTTTGCATTTTAACTGCAGCAGAGAATTCAATTGCTAATTACACAGTAATTCAGTTTGACGTTAAAATTACTTGAGACAGAAAATTATCACAGATTTAATTGGGCTTTGGATCAGCTCCAGGAGGTTTCCATTGATCTCTATTTATAGACTCAGAGCAGACTGCAATTAATGTAACAGATCCACCCAGTGTCTGACAAGAAACATTTTGCTTTTTACTTCACATGCGGAAACCATATTACAGTAGAAAATGAAACAGACTATCCAATAGCTTTCATGTTACACATCTTTGATTTGGAAAACACATTGGAAATAATATTAAACACTATTTTGTCTGTCTTTCTAGTTGCAGGATGTACCCATCTTGGGCAGGTTTATGCTGACAGGGATGTTTGGAAACCAGAGCCATGCCAAATCTGTGTGTGCGACTCAGGATCTGTTCTCTGTGATGACATCATCTGTGACGACCAGGAGCTGGACTGTCCTAACCCAGAAATTCCCTTTGGAGAGTGCTGTCCAGTTTGCCCACAAACAACACCACAACCTACAAGAGTAAGTTTGTTCTTAATGCTGTCACATTGGTGTTGCTGCCTTCTTGATCCATGTCAATCTCAATTCATTTTCATTTAGATGCTCTTAAACTCTTTTCTTTTAAATGCTAAGCTTGCCACTTTCTGACTGTAGGCAAATAGTTAGAATGGGCAAATTTTGCCAAAACAAATTTAAAAAAATAGCTTGAACTTTCACAGAGTGTTATCATTTTTGTTAAATTCAAGAATACTTCTGTATTCTGTCAGAGACTTGGTACCAGATCTGACAAAATACTTTTTAGTGATTTGGGCTGTGCAGCTGAAAGCATGAAGTCCTTCAACCCGGTTTTACATAGACAACAGGCACAGATGAATAATAGAAAGGGATAGAGGCAAAGAATTAGCCACTACATTTTTAATTTTATGGAGAAACATAATAACAGGAATAATGCAAACAGCTTATTTATGGACTGCATGCTCTATCTATATGCATGAAACTAATGCCAACAGAGAGTTCAATTTAGACAATTTTCACAGGATACTGCGAATCTGCATTTCTTATCAACTCAATTCTGCATTATCAGAAAACAAATTTCCTTTTGCAGAGTTATTCCTGACTTAATGCCCAGCAAAGGAAAGGCGATTCAAGCCCTACATCCCTAATTTATCATCATCTTGTTTATAGACACCAACATTATATAAATCAGTTGCAACAACTTAAGTCCAGGAAAATCAAGAATGTTAGTGCATGCAAGTCCTCTGTCTAAACCCCTTCAGTAAGTGAACCAGCTATAATGAGCTCTAAGGTTATCTGAACATTTAATCCTTGATTAAGATCCATGAGATTCTGTTAAAGTACATAGATTTCCCCAGGCAGATTGAAGATTCTTATCCAGAAGATAAAAGAGTGAAAGAGATGTGTGTACAGAAAAGAAAGGGAGATTTATTTTTGAGCTCTATCGTATATCTGCTGAATATCACCTAGTGTTAGTTGCCCCATGCTAGTTCAACTGTACTGCTTCCACAAGTACCTGAGCTACTTCACTGAGCAGTTTTAAAGGTGCAGACGAGTGGTACATACAAGCATGCTGGAGATTTAAGCACAGCTCCCTCTCTTGTTGAGTCTAGACTCTTTAATTAGTTCTGTGGTTCCTGACACTAAAGGATATGTGTACTACTTCCTCCAGCCCCTGTGTTTGATATGTAAAAGTTTGGTCAGCCCACTGGAAGCTGTCCTGCTGACCTTGGATGGTATATTGGGAAATGCCACCTTGAAAGATCCAAGATAGTTTCAGATGAATATTCTTTGCTGCCACTAGCAGCTGAATACATTAAAACTGTTCTGAACTATTGAGAATCTAGATAGTGATGTGTAATGGAATTATTAATTGGAAAATAAATAAATTGGAGTAAATCTGACAAATTAAAATTAGCTACTTTATCACACTTAACATGCTGGACTGAGAAGGATACAAGAAAACTGTCACAGCTTTCCATAGTGGACTTCTGTCCCCATCCTGTGCAATGACAAAGCTCTACTGACTTCATAAGTGCCATGTTTTTGCCTAGAAGAGAGGTGTAGCTTTCAGGATGATCCATGAAAATGCAGATGAACTGAACAAAAAGCCTTTTCATTTATTATATTTATTATATTAA